TATTCTGTGACAGAAGCACCAACTGGACTTGTGGGATGTGAGTGGAAAGAGAGGAAATGGAGGATGGTCCTAGTTTTTCTTTTAACAGTGGGGTGGACAGTGATGGTGCTGTTTCCTGAGAAGTCTGAGGAGGAAGTCAGTGTATGCAGAGTAAGCAAGTATTCAGTTTTGGACGTTAAGTTTTATGTGCACCTTGGACATCCCAATGGAGATATCTACTAACAGCTAATAGGTAAGTCTGGAACTCAGTGGAATGGTCCAGGCATGGGACAGCTTTTTTTTTCAGTCATCAGCAGAAAATAAGAGCTAAATCTTGAAACTAGGGTGCTTTCCTAGGGAGGAAGAAGAGATGGCTGCCCACAGCCCAGCCCTGGGACTTCCCAAGTTTAATAGCCCAGGGAAGGAAGAGAGGCCAGCCAGGGAGACTGGGAGGAGATGCTCCCAAGCTTTACTTCCCACCATTGTGGAAAATATTCCTGAAGAGTTGGCAGGAATACATCAGGAAGGGATTTAAAGGAATAAAGCATCTAGCTTTGCAGGAAGGCCTGAGACTTGGCTTGGTAAGTAATGGCAGGTAGGAGAAATAAAAGTGGGGAGAGGACTGTAGGGGGTGCAGGGGGTTTCTATTCATAAACATGCCAGGCATTTTCCCTAATTTAATTCCAACAATAATCCTGAGAGGTCTATTAAAGAGTTTTGGCTGGGCGCGTAGCTCACGCCTGTAATCCTAGCACTCTGGGAGGCCGAGGCGGGCAGATTGCTTGAGGTCAGGAGTTCGAAACCAGCCTGAGCAAGAGCGAGACCCCGTCTCTACTATAAATAGAAAGAAATTAATTGGCCAACTAATATATATAGAAAAAATTAGCTGGGCATGGTGGCACGTGACTGTAGTCTCAGCTACTCGGGACTGAGGCAGGAGGATCGCTTGAGCCCCAGAGTTTGAGGTTGCTGTGAGCTAGGCTGACGCCTTGGCACTCATTCTAGCCTGGGCAACAAAGCCAGACTCTGTCTCAAAATAAAAATAGAAATAAATTAATTGAACAACTAAAAATATATAGAAAAAAATATCAGCCAGGCATGGTGGCGCATGCCTGTAGCCCCAGCTACCCGGGAGGCTGAGGCAGAAGGATCACTTGAAACCCAGAAGTTTGAGGTTGCTGTGAGCTAGGTTGATGCCATGGCACTCTAGCCCGGGCAACTGAGTGAGAATCTATCTCCAAAAAAAAAAAGTGTCTACTTTATAGATGAAGAAACTGGGGCTAGTCCTCATGGTATGGTGGTAGAGCCAAGATCTGAATGCACTTTCAATTCAGTTTACTATAAAACATAAACGTGTACAGAAGAGTGCATAAGATGGGCAAGGCAAAAGAATTATTTTAAAGTAAGTACCCATGTGGCCATCACTGGGTCAGAGGAAGGCAGCTGCCAGCCTGGAGAAGGGCCCTGTGTAGTTCTTCCCCCAGCATGTGCAGCCCACTCAGGAGAAAGCTCATTCAGGATCGGCGTCCTTATTTCCTTACTTTCCTTTCAAGTTTTTGTTTCCTCAACATTAAAATTTAGTTGTACCTATTTTTGAATTTGACATAAATAAAATTATACTGTATATATTCTTTTGTGACTTGCTTCTTTCACAAGTTGACTTAATATACACATTGGTTTTGCCTGTTTTTGACCTTCATATAAATAGAATCATACATTCCATTTCCAAATAATCATCCTTTGTGCTACTGTTACTGCAATTTATCCATATCCATTCCTACTGTGTGAACATACCACACTATCTCTATTACACTGCTGATAGTCTAGTTTTGGGATATTACTTTTGTTCTCACATGTGTCTTTTGGAGAACATATAACTGAATTTCCGTTGGGAATAAAGCTAGGAGTGGAATTGCTGAGTCAGAGGGAATAGCTATGTGTACTTTCAGTAGATAATGCCAAATGGTACATTCCAATTTAAATTGCTGTGCCTTCTAGATAAATTAGATATTTTTATCATTATGAGGATAACTAAGAAAAAAGTTTTTGGTTAACTAAAAAAAAAAAAAAAAAAAAAAAAAGCATTCCACTTTTCTCTCTCCATTACTTTGGCAGTTATACATTCTGCTTCTATTCTAGAAAGTTTATTTTATTTTATTTTTTTTTATTTTACTATTTTATTTTATTTTTTGGAGACAGAGTCTCGCTCCATCGGCCAGGCTTGAGATACTCTAAATATTCCCTCGGAGTAACCTCCCCCAAGGTGACGTCTTTGCTCTTGTTGGCACCTGTATAAGAGAAACTGGGGCCTGAGCTGTCTCTGCCCAAAGAGCCCTTATGGCTTTTGTTATTGTGCTTCTCTCTCTTCAACATTGTGCACTGGACACACTTCTCAACACAAATCTTCTTGCCCTTCTTGACATCACTTTGAAGTAGCCTGTTCAGCAGTGTGTATGTGCACTGGAAAGCAACTGGTTGTCTGGTTCTCACCTTTAATTTTTTTTTTTAAGTGATGGGTGTCTCACTATGTTGTGCCAGGCTGGACTCAAACTCGTGGGTTCAAACGATTCTCCCACCTCATCCTCCCAAATAGCTCAGGCTACAAGTGTAAGCCACCGCTCCCAACTTATCCCTCTAGAATTTAGGTCTTGTGGTCTAGTGATTCTCAACCTTGGCTGTGCAAGAAAATCACCTAAGGAATAAAATTTAAAGATATAGATATTTGTGACCTTTCTGTTCTTGACTCTTGATTCAGGAGCTCTGTACAAAGGTAGACTTGTCACCTGTACTTTGGAAAATTTGCCCAGGGGATTTGCATGCTCAGTCAAGGTAAGAACCAGAGCTGCAGTCTCTTCCTGGCCCAGGGGTTGGGCTCCTTTAATCCACCTGCAGGAGCTAGACAAGAACGGTGAGTGGAGGTGTGAGGATGGGCACTGAAGAAGGTAGGTGAGAAGGGCCAAGGCAGAGCACGGAAGTCATCAGATCTGCACTGGAAAAACACAATCACATCTGTGGACTCGTCTGGCCCAGGGGGTGGGGGGAGCCTCAGACAGAGGAGGGAAAGGAAGAGCATAAATGTGGCATGCTATTATTTGTTCCCTAACCCAGTTATATGATTTTTCCATTGCCTGAAAAGTTCTCATTGGGCAGATGTCCTTTTTAATCTTGTTTTCTCTTCCAGCCTACATTTTATTAACTCTCTCTTATCTTCAACAGCACCACTTACTTTTATAAGACCTAACTCAAGCAGAGTAAACATTGTCCAACCCATAGAATCAATACCCAGGGAAGCAACAAAGTGTAGTGCACACTGGCAGTTCATCTACTGCCGTAGGTCACTGTGCAAGAGTAGAGAGCAGAGGGAGCTATGAGTTACAGATCTGAAGCATAGTGGAGAGGTCTGGGGCAATGTCAGAACCACCCACTATCTCTCTCTCTTTAAGACATAGGGTCTTGCCTTGTTGCTGGAATGCAGTGTTGCAATCATAGCTCACTACAGCCTCGAACTCCTGGGCTCAAGTGATCCTCCTGCCTCAGCCTTCTGAGTAGCTGGGATTATAGGTGCATGCCACCACACCCAGCTAATTTTTCTTTTTCTTTTGTAGAGATGGGATCCGCTATGTTGCCCAGGCTGGTTTTGAATTCCTCACCTCAAGCGATTCTCCTGCCTCGGCCTCTCAAAGTGCTAGGGTTACAGGCGTGAGCCACTGTGTCTGGCAGAGCTGCCCACTCTTGCAAAGATAACACTGACTCTTGCCTGCACTTCATCCTAGGGCTTCCTCAGCTGGCTTTGGCTCCTTCTCCCCTGTCCTGTGGCATTCTGGCTAGAAAGAATGACCTAAAAGTCTGGTAGTTAAATCAGCTCAGAAAGTCATTTAAACTTTTTTTTTTTTTTAACATACTGGTCAGCTTCAGCTTCCAAGTTCATTCAAATAATCTTCAAGCCTAATTTAGAAATAGGACACCGAAAATAAATCCCTCACCTGTCTTATAACTTAGCTAATTAACCTGAATTATTTCTACTTAACACAAGCCTTTATGTGACAGGCATTCTGTAAAGTGCTTTATGTATATTACATATATGTAAGTAATATATGTATTACGTATATTTTTCTTGTGAGATCGTCACAACCACATGGTGAGGGTATCATTACTCCAATTTTATTGGCGAAGGGGCCAAGCCTCAGAGGCACCCAGGGTGCTGCTGGAGGAAAGCTTAATGGTGATAGGCAGGGGCAAGGAGCACCACGCTGGCTGACGGGCAATGGATGGAACACTTCCTTTCACCATAAGTGGTGAGGAGCGTTGACCTTGAGCCATGGACCAGTAACTTTGTTCCTCAGCTCCTTCTGAAGTCCCTAAATACTTACTAAACACCCTTTCTTTTTTGATTTTTTTGTTTAATCACCAGGAAGACACATATGACAAAGAAGGGATCCTTTTCACAACTGAATACATAGTTTATAGACAGCCTCTTTGCATTCCAAAGTGAAGGAAGGGTGCAAGGGATGGCCTGGGATGCTGAGGCCCTGGCAAGTCACATAGGCTGTAGCCAAAGCCCCACCCTGAGCCACAATGACATGAACCAAAAAAAAAAAAAAAAAAAAAATCCCACAATAATGTGGCAACACCTAGCTAGACACTCTGTTTTTGAAGCATCTGAGCTAGTCTGGCGTCTCAGAAGGCCAAATGATTCAGATCAGGCCAAGGCTGCTACCAGGAGCCAGATCTGACCACATGAATAAGCTAGGCAACTTCTAGTTCACTGGAGCTGTCACAGCAAATTCAGTTTGGCAGACCTGACTGGCCCCAAGAGAAGTGCTGCTCACACGCCTTCCTTCCCTTTACCACTGACAGGACTCACCCCATAAGGACAGAGCTTCATTGACAAACCAAAGCACTCACACATTTTTCGTTTCACAATGAAAAGCTTCTGCTTGCTTAAACTGGGCAGTTTGTCTGCAATAAACCATTTCCAAGTTCTGAGGATTGTCAAAGGAATAGAATCTACTCCTTCTTACCCCTCTTTCCCTCGATTATGGATGGCCAGTTCTTCACCAATCCCCTCTTCCTCCTTGAAGCTCTCCCAGTCCAATTTGGACTTCTCAAGGGTGCTCATTTTCTGCTTCTTGGTGCCAATTTTCCCCAAAAGGCTGCTCATGCCACTCGATCTTTTTAACCTAAAGAAAGAGAAAACATGAAAGATGTAGCATGTAAAAACTTTGATCTTTTAATTAATGTTTTTTTCTTTTTTCTTTTTCTTTTTTTTTTGAGACAGAGTCTCGCTTTGTTGTCCAGGCTAGAGTGAGTGCCGTGGCATCAGCCTAGCTCACAGCAACCTCAAACTCCTGGGCTCGAGCAATCCTTCTGCTTCAGCCTCCCGAGTAGCTGGGACTACAGGCATGTGCCACCATGACCGGCTAATTTTTTATATATATATATGTCATTTCTTTCTATTTATAGTAGAGACGGGGTCTCGCTCTTGCTCAGGCTGGTTTTGAACTCCTGACCTTGAGCAATCCGCCTGCCTCGGCCTCCCAGAGAGCTAGGATTATAATGTTTTTTTCTGGTGGGCATGGGGTCCCCTGGAGCCATTTATCTTAGTGGAAGCAGTGTTCATATCTAGGATATTTCCTTCCTGGGGTGGAGAACATTGTAAATGGACCACAATTTTAATGTGCTTTTCCTGCTTAACACCTCTGACTACTCTCCTAAGTTTCAAACAGGAAATCCTGCCTTCTTCAGACCTCTGTGAGCTCTATGTGGCAAGTCTCTGCTTGCAAGAAGTGGGAAGAACAGCGCGGTTCAGGCACAGCTTTGGAGTCACATAGCCAGGTCCAACTCCCAGCTTAACTGTGTGACTCTAGGCTACTTATTTAAGCGCATGTTCTTTGGTTTCCTAATCAATAAAGTGAATGCTTACTCACAGGCTATGGTTTATCTTATATGCAAAGGGCTAAAACAGCACCTGGCACAGAGTGCAATAAGCATTAGCCACTCTGAGTTACTGTTATCACTTAAGCTCTAAAGCCCCAGAAGGTCTTTTAAAAGAAATCGAACCAGTTACCAGCAGTGATGAGCAAGAAGTCACAGCACTATAAAAGGGTTCTAAAAGCAGTTTCCTTTCAACTCCTGTGACTTGAGTTCTGGTTTTTCCAAGGAGGTGGAAAACATTCCTTACCCTTAAAGCAGGAAATGTACAACCTGTGCTCTACTTGCTGGTGATGCTATCATGGACTGTGGGAGAAACCCCATATGCCCAAATTCAAGCCTTGGCAGGTCAAGGTCAAATGTTTCTGGTTAATGTTACATGTATGAGATAAAATAAGAAAAACAGAATGTAGTTAGTTGGTAAGAAGGTAGTATGAGGGGAAGGTTCAGTGTCTTTATGAAACTAAAACAAGTTATCTACCAGCAAGTAGGAAACTGGAAGTTATTTTCTGCCTCACGAAGATATGTAAGAGAGTTAAAAGATTTAAATATTATGAGCTAACATCACAAGGTCTACCAGTAACAATACCTTTCATTGGCCAAGAATGCTTATTCAAGTGCTTTCATAGCCATTTTTTCATCTGATTCTCATTATAGCCTGTGGCAGAGGAACACTGAGTCTCAGAGTTAGAAAAGGGTCATATTTGAGATGATCTAGTATCACCCTGACCCATTTTGAAACCCCATCTCCCTGCTACACAGCACTGGTGAAGGACAACTCACCATCTGTGCCCTGGGGTGAGTCAACAGGCTCTGCTTAAATGCCTCTTCAATGACCTCTTATTGTCCTACAATAAAGTCTAAACTCCTTAACTTGCCAAGTTCTTCCTGATCTTGCCACACCATTATAATCTATGCTCCCAACATACAATCCTGAACTCATAGTTCACCTCTAGCTGCCTCCTTTTCATTCATATAGTCTAGTCTCAGCTTAAAAACCACTTCCTGGCCCGGTGTGCTACTCACGCCTGTAATCCTAGTACTCGGGGAAGCCAGAGGCGGGAGGATCGCTCAAGGTCAGTTCGAAACCAGCCTGAGCAAGAGCGAGACTCCATCTCTACTAAAAACAGAAAGAAATTAATTGGTCAACTAAAAATATACAGACAAAATTAGCTGGGCATGGTGGCGCATGCCTGTAGTCCAAGCAACTTAGGAGGCTGACACAGAAGGATCGCTTGAGCCCAGGAGTTTGAGGATGGTGTGAACTGGGCTGATGCCACGGCACTCTAGCCACTCTAGCCCGGGTAACTGAGTGAGACTCTGTCTCAAAACAAACAAACAAACAACCCACCCACCCACCCAAAACCACTTCCTGACCAGGTGCAGTGGCTCATACCTTTAATTTCACCACTTTGAGAGGCTGAGGCCAGGAGTTCAAGAACAGCCTGAGCAACACATTTAGACCCCATCTCTATAAAAAATATAAAAATTAGCACCTGTAGTCCTAGCTACTTTGGGAGGCTGAGGTGAGAGGATCGTTTGAACCCAGGAGTTCTAGGCTACAGTGAGTTATGATCATACTCACCTAGCCTGGGCAACAAAGTGAGACTCCTGTCTCTTAAAAAAAAAAAAACAGTGAAAACAAAAACAACAACAAAACTCCACTTTCTCCAGGCAGTGCTCCTTGAGTCCTCCCCAATCTCTGGATCAGGCGCCCTAGTGGTGCTTCCATGGAGATCCTTCCATACTTCAATTTCTAATCACTGCTAATTTTGGGAAGGGGGTCATTCTTACTTCTCCTGTTGTCCTGGAGCTCACTGTATTCAGGGCCCATGTTTTACTCTTGACTTACCCAATCAATGATCCGCGCTATTCAGTTCTAGTGCTTTTTTTCTGAGACAGAGTCTTGCTCTGTCACCCCAGCTAGAGTGCAGTGGTGTCATCATAGCTCATTGCAACCAAACTCCTGGGCTCAAAGTATAGCCCAAAGACTTGCCCATGGCACATAATCACTATATTTTTAATAAACTAAAGTCCCATGATTTGATAATGGACTTACCCAAATGACATTTTTCTCATGACAAAAAGATTCACCACTACACTTGAACTGACAGACCAGAAAAGTTAGCTCCCAAAGTGGACCAGCATGGATAGGGTTAACACATGTGTACGGAAGCACTATTGACCTTTACTGAGAACTTCAACATACTAAGCCTAGCTCAAGTCTATGCCTTCCTTCTCATAACTTGAATAACCACCCAAATGCAAATTATTTGGAACAAAGATTCTTTGGCAGAGATACATAGTTTCCTTAGAATTGTCATCAGCTTACAAGGCAGGAGTAGACATTTTTTTTTAATTTACTTTTTTTTAGGGATAACCTATGTTGCCCAGGCTGGCTCAAACTCCTAAATTCAAGTGATCCTCCTGCCTCAGCCACCGAGTAGCTGACACTACAGGCATGCACCACTGAGACCAGCAGGAATGAGCCATTTGTAGCTCACATGTGAACTATTTTCCAGGGCCATATGAGGGCCTGGACCTGGTATGGAACTCTCTGAGAAATGGGAAGAAATCTTAAGATGGTAATTCCTCCTCATGTGCTATCTGCCTGGAACCAATGTATGCTTTCAGATATTCTCTGGATTTAGCTGAAATCCGTAAAAATGAAAAGCACAACACAAATCCCTGGGCCAATTTCAACACCCCTGTGTGTAAATCTCTAAGTAATCTCCCCAAAGCCCAAGATCAGACCACTCAAGAAAAGGACTGGAAGCAGTGGTACATTAGGGAGCTAGTTTAAATCCCATTCACTTCTCAATACTGTATTGACAGTACTCTATGGGATACTGGGCTCAGAAAAGTGGAAAATCAGAAGACAAGTTCCAAATTATCTTAAACATCCTGTGGCTTGAAAAATTGTCAGAACTCTTAAATCTATTATTGAAGATGATTCAGTGCCAGCAAAAACAGTGGCATTTATCAGCAAAAGGTGAAAAGAAAAGCTGGCAAACAGCAACAGCTTCACAGTTTTTATACAAATAGAAAACGATCCGCTATTCAGTTCTAGTGCTCTTTTTTTTCTTTCTTTTTTTTTTTTTTTTTGAGACAGAGTCTTGCTCTGTCACCCCAGCTGGAGTGCAGTGGTGTCATCATAGCTCACTGTAACCAAACTCCTGGGCTCAAGTGATCTTCCTGCCTCAGTCTCTAGAGTAGCTGATTTTTTCTATTTTTTGTAGATGGGGGTCTTGCTCTTGCTCAGGCTGGCCTTGTACTCTTGACCTCAAGTGATCTTCCTGCCTGGGCCTCCCAGAGTGCTAGGATTACAGGTGTGAGCCACTGTGCATGGCCAGTTCTATTGTTCTTATGTTAATCCAAGAATGAAAGGCACTTAAATTTGTCTGATTTGATCTTAGCTGCTTTTACATCTTTATAACATGTATATGAAACACACCTGATGATTCTGGTGGCAAAAGTCCTGAATTCTAATCTCTTCTGAAACAATTTATTACAGAAAGCCCTTTCCAACTCTTCCTTCCAAATGTTGCTAAGCACGGAGGTCTGGTCTCTCAGTCAACTGTCAGGAAGAACTAAGCTATTCTAGTTGACTTTGGTTCTATTTAAATGACGTGCTCTTTCTATATAAGATGACATCATCCATTTGTAGTGAATAAAATGTTTTCCCAAAAGCAGTAGAGGTAGTACTCTTAACTGCAGTGTCTTGGTCTCTGTTACTATCGAGGGCATTCTTTTTGAGAAAGTTAACTGGGGATAGGGGCTCTTAAGTGACACTGAAATGGACTTTCTCTCAGGGACAAACTAATTGACCTGCTGGGCAGTTTCGCCACTAGCATCATCAGCAGAGTCTTACATTGAACAGGCAAGTGGCAACGACAGAAGCCTCTCTGGCCAACAAGGAACCACTCACCTAGATGCATGGATACTCTTCTCAAGGGCCTGGAGCCTGGTACGAATGAGGGTTAAATGACGAGGGTTAAATGACGTGATGTCTGTGGCAAAGAAAAATCCTTCTGACCTGCCAGCAGACCTCTAGGAAATACTTCTCAATTTCCATTCCCCTCTGTCCCACTCCAATGTGGTTTCATCTCCTTCCTTGGGAAAGAGATAATGCCATGGCCCTTCCCACCTCTGCTCCAGCAATTTCCTTCCTGAACCATTCCCATGGTGGGAGACTCATGGCAAGCAGGGAGGGGCATCCCACCCTTTTATAGCAGTTCAGGGGTAACCG